AAGAAGGTCGACAGCAGCAGCAGAGGCGACAGAGGGGAGGAGGGGGGAAGGGGAACACCCCTCAAAGAACGGGGTGCGGGGGTCGCCACGAGAGGTGCCTACAGCGACGATGCTCGCCTCAGCTGCAAGCAGTTCCTTCTCGAGGAGGGCAACAGTGAGCTCAGTGGGGGAGCGAGAGAGGAAGTGGTCCCTGACTGCGCGCAGAGAGTCAGGGAGGCGGGTGACGATGTGGTAGAGAGTGATCCAGAGCGGGGGGGGGTTGCTAGTGAGAAACTCGGCAGGCATAGCAGCACGAAAGCGGGCCTCACTAGTCTTAAGGTGGGTGATGAGGTCTGCGACAGTGTGAAAGGAGGCTAGGTCAGGGAACAGGTAGGGGAGAGTGAGGCGGCCTAGCGTGGCAGAAGCGGGTGAGGAGTAGCGGGCAACTACAGCGGTGTAGAGGTCCTTAGCAGTCTTGCACTGGCCGAAGTGCTCGTGGAGTCCCCATAGCAGAATGGGGTTGCTGAGCGTCGCATAGGCCTGGTCATGGAGATTGCCCGCACCTCCTTGACTCACGCCCGTGCCCCCCATTTCCTGTGGCCATACGCGGTCAGGTACGCCGCGCACCAGCTGAACCTCTGGCCACGCGTCTCTCGGCCGGAGGCTTCACCGACCAGTCTTTGGACAGGGTCCCCTGGTGTCGCGTCGAGGTTTCGTGTCTGGGGGTGCTTGGCTCTTGTCCGCGACACCTCCACGGACAAGCTCTCGCCTCGCGCCGTTCCTTGTGTCTTCCTTGGTTTCCCTGAGGACTCCTCTGACTTCACCTTTTACCACCCTCCCTCTCACCGGTTCTTTGACTCCCGTGACGTCCGTTTCGAGGAGTCCACCCCGTACTACGTCAGGTACCCCAGTCGAGGTCTCCCGGTTCCTCCTCCCCCCCTCTTCCTGACAGCCGCTCCCCCGCCTGCTCCCCCGGTACAGCCTCCCCCCCCTGGTCCAGCCCCGTCTGGTGTGTCTCAGGCTAGCCCTCCCCCTTCGGTAGCCCCCCCTGTACAGCCTCCCTCCCCACAGTCTTCCTCACCGCCTCCTGTAGGTGCTCCCTCTCGGGAGGTTGGTCCTGCGACTGTCCCTGTACAGGTCTCTGGTTCTGGGGGTGCTGGAGTTGGAGCTGAGCCGCGGGTTGCAGAGGACTCTTCTCTTCCGGGGGCTGGTACTGGTCGTGCGGAGTCTGGGGGTGCTGGTGCGGAGTCTGGGGGTGCTGCGTCTGGGGGTGAGGGTGTTCCTTCGGTTTCTGGAGAGCCTGGGTCTGGAGCTGGTGTTGGTGCTGCCTCTGGGGGTGGTGTGCTTGGTGCTTCGGAGGTCGACTCTGGGGCTGCCGCTGCCCCGGACACTACTCCTTCCCCCCACCCCTACCCGACCAGGTTCCAGGCTCGTGTTCGCCGTGCTCGTGAGGAGCAGTTGGAGTTGGAGAGAGAGGAGAGAGAGTTGCAGCGGCTCGAGGAGCAGGAGCGACAGCAGCAGGGGCAGCAGCCGCTGGAGCAGCAGCAGCCGCAGCAGCCGCAGCAGCAGCAGTTGCCGTCTCCTCCTCCTGTCTCGGGTCTTCGGACCCTTGGTCTCCCCTCTCCCTCTCCTTCCTCCTCCCCCTCTCCTCCCGTCTCTGGTCCTCCGCTTCCTCCTCCTGACCCCTCTCCCGCTGTTTTCCCTCGTTCTCAGTCTTCGTTGTCCCCTCCTCCTTCTCAGACTTGGGCCTCTCGTCGCTCCCCTCGTGCTCGTCCCTCGTCTCCTGTTCCCTTCACTGACCTTCGTACTGCCTTACTTCGTTCTAGTCCACCTCGTCCGTCTCCGTCTGTGCTTCCGTCTCCTCCTGAGTCGGCTCTCACTGCGTTGCTCCCTACTCCTGTCATTGACTACTACCGCACGTACCGTCCTCTTCTCTCTCGTGTTCTCGCCTCGCTTGTTACTCACCCTCGTGCCTCTGTGTCCTCTGTGTCCGCTCTTACTGCCGCAGTCACTGAGTTTGCCTCTACCCGCCGCCTTGACTTCGCCACCGCGCTTGTGGCTGCTCCTCCTTCCAGTCCTCTGGCCGTCGGGGGTGTGTCTGCCCTTGGCTGTGACGCCCTAGAGGACAGGCAGTTTGAGCTAGAGTTCCTGGCGGCCGCTTCCCCTCATCTCTGTGCCATGCTCCTCGCCCCTGAGGGTGACCCCGACGCCCTTGACATTCCGACTCCTCGCACTTACGCTGAGGCAGTGTCAGGGCCTTGGGCCTCTCAGTGGAGAGCTGCCATGGACGCAAAGATGGCCTCCTACAGATCCACAGGCACCTACGTCGATGAGGTTCCCCCTCCGGGGGCGAACGTAGTCGACGGCATGTGGATCTACAGGGTGAAGCGGCCACCGGGATCTCCTCCGGTCTTCAAGGCACGCTACGTGGCTAGAGGTTTCAGTCAGCGCGAGGGAGTTGACTTCTTTCAGACCTTCGCGCCCACCCCGAAGATGACCACTCTTCGGGTGTTACTACACGTAGCAGCACAGAGAGACTACGAGTTACACTCTCTCGACTTCTCTACTGCTTTCCTTCAGGGCAGTCTTCACGAGGAGGTCTGGTTGCGTCGTCCCTCTGCCTTCACTGGCTCTTTCCCTCCTGGGACCCAGTGGAGGCTGAGGCGACCGGTTTACGGTCTTCGTCAGGCTCCTCGTGAGTGGCACGACACCCTGCGTTCTACCCTGTCTGACCTTGGGTTCCAGCCGTCTTCTGCTGACCCGTCGCTGTTCGTTCGTCGTGGCCCCACACCTTTCTTTGTTCTGGTCTACGTTGACGACCTTGTTTTCGCCACCCCTGACAGGGTTGCTTTGGCACACGTGAAGTCCGAACTGCAGAAGAGACACACCTGCACTGATCTTGGTGAGCTGCGCCACTACCTTGGCCTGCAGATCACCAGGGACAGAGCTGCTCGCACCATTACACTTTCACAGTCGCACATGGTGCAGCAGGTCCTTCAGCGGTTCGGGCTTCAGCACTCCACAGTACAGCGCACACCTCTTGCTGTTGACCACAGACTCACTGGACCCTTTCCTGACGAGCCGTTCGAGCCTAGTGGTCCCTACGCAGAGCTTGTGGGTTGCCTCATGTACCTGATGACTTGTACTCGCCCGGACCTCGCCTTCCCTCTCAGCGTTCTTGCGCGCTTTGTTGCGCCAGGGAGACACCGTCCTGTTCACTGGACAGCAGCTGTGAGGGTGGCGAAGTACCTAGCGACGACGTCAGGCGTGGGGCTAGTTCTTGGAGGGCAGCAGTCTGTCGTACTTACTGGTCACTGTGACTCCTCTTACGCTGACGACGCTGAGACTCACAGGTCTACTCAGGGGTACTGTTTCAGCCTGGGTTCTGGAGCTGTTTCCTGGCGGTCCACGCGCTCCTCTTCGGTCTCGACCTCTACAGCTGAGGCTGAGATCTACGCTGGTGCCATGGCGGCACAGGAGCTGCGTTGGTTGACCTTCTTGCTCACCGACCTTGGTGAGCGGCCGAGCTCTGCACCGACCTTGTTCACTGACAACAAGGCGTCTATTCTCCTTTGTCGAGAGCCACGACTGGAGAGCAGAGTGAAGCACATTCACGTCAGGTACTTTCTTCTGCGAGAGTTGCAGAGGCGTGGACAGGCTCGCTTTGAGTTTGTGGAGTCCGAGGCCAACACTGCAGACATCTTCACCAAGGCGCTTCCGCCTTGTGACCACCAGAGGTGCTGTGTGCAGTTAGGCCTTGTTGACACTGGTTCTCGTGTTGCTTAGACTTGAGTGTACTGTTTACTTTGCTTTCTATATACCTCTGTTACTTCTTGGACTGGCCTTGTGGCCACTGTTGTTTGTGCTCAGACTGTGTGGTGACGTTGTGATCCACCCTGAGCTTCGTTTCTTGGACTGGTCTTGTGACCGTACTCGTGTGGTTCTGCTAGACACCCCTCATTTAGGCTATGGGGGTGTGTCAAATGTTGTAGCCTATAGTGAGGTTTGTCTTAGGGGGTACAAAACTTAGGGTTAGCTATATGTACCCCAACCAACATCAATGCATCATCCATTCTTCATTTTGACAGTAGCATGATAGACATCAAGTAGCATGATGAATAGCTAGTACAATGATTGATACGCAGTAAAGTAACATGTACTAGCACTTCTGTTTCCTAGCTCGAGTTGCATGTTGTAATTTGCCAGTTGAAATGAGAACGATGCCAAATGATAAGAGAAATCAAGCTTTCTAAATAATATAATTTTAAAATGTTTCGGTTTTCAGCTTACCAAAGTTATCGATTCTGACTGAAACAGCTTCCGAACTGCGCATGGAATTCAAGCCACGTCATTCAGGCACCGAATGACTCACCACCACAAGCTCGCTCTATGTTTCGTGACAGGCCCTGTGTGGCGCGAGCCTCCACGCCTACGAAATCTCCGTTTAAAACCTACATTTCATTACAAATCCTGAAGAGATTCTTTCTAGGGGTGTTCTGAAAAATACAAAACAAATGGGGGGTGTTATAACTGGCGTATTTTTCAGTACACCCCCCGCAATTGTACACCCATGGGTGTTCAATTTTGGGGGGTGTACTATGCGGGGGATTACAGTAGTTGATGGCATGTGGATTTTAAGGGTGAAGCGAAGCCCATTATAATGTTTTTATTGTGTAGGCTGTAATGGACTAGCCCATAAAGAGTACAACCCAAACTAAGGTTAGTACTTGTACCCAAATCTATCATAAATGCTCACATTCTTGCTTAGTCTTGTAACACATACGGTACAAGAGGAAGCTCAAGAACGTTAATGCAAGTTCCATAATGCAAAAGAGGTAAAATCTAGTGTACTGAGAAAAAGGAATAACCAAACGCAATTCCAAGAGCCAACCAGAGCCCTTAGTTGCAATTCCACTCCTACCCAGCAAGCATCCCACCCAAGCAACCAACTTCCCCCAAACCACTCCAAAGCGATGCCTAAATGCACTACCTGAAACCCCAAACAGTACCCCATACACCACTCAAGCACCAGCGGCAGCGGCAGCAGCGGTGGCTTCCATCTCCTCCTCCACATCCGCATCCAGCTCCTCCAGCAGCCGCCCCCCCGTGAGCCCCTTGCCGTCACCCAGCCCTTCGGGGGGCACAGGGTAGGCGCCGGAGAAGCAGGCGTCGCAGAAGGTGGGGGCGTCGTCGCCCAGCACGGAGTGCAGGTCCTCCAGGGGCACAAACGCCAGCGTGTCCGCGCCGATGAACTTGCGCGTCTCCTCTATGTTCAGCCGGTACGAGATCAGCTCCTGCGGGGTATGCGCCATGCGGATCAGGTGACATGAGATAAGGTTAGACAAATGGCATTTGAGATGGCTAGGCGGTGGAAAGGGAGGGGAGTCAGGCAGCAGAGGAGACGGGTGTGGGGAGGGGACTGGAGGGAGGGGGTGGGGGGGAAAGCTTTGGCTGTACTTTTACAAATGACTGGCAAGGATGGGCAAGGATGGGCAAGTATAGACTCCTGCAAAAATGAATGGCCAATCATAATTCACGTATAAAACTGCCCCAAAATCAAAGTGCCTCGAACCACACGGACCATGCTGATATGAACAATAGCCTGGACATCGAAGTTAAGAACACCCACACAGGGAGACATCCTGATGAGCAGCCCACAACAACCTTCCCACAAGCCTGGTCCAACAAACCAAGGAGGCTGTTTGAGTTCAATCAATGCTGCTTTCTCGAATTTCCCAAAACGACCTGGCTTGGTGAGGTGCGGTCGCGCTCATGCCCACAGCACAATTCACACCCCTGTCAACATGCATGCATGCATGCCCCCTTGCACCGCCTCTTACCTCGCGTGAGGGCGTGTCGACGCCGTAGTAGCAGGAGCCGGTGATAGGCGGGCATGCGATGCGCATGTGCACGGCAGTGGCGCCCGCCTCCTTGACCAGGCGCACGATCTTGCTGCTCGTCGTGCCGCGCACTATGCTGTCGTCCACCACCACCACGCGCTTGCCCTGCTCGCCCATGGGGTACGGAAGGGCGAGAAGGAGCGGGTAGGGAGGAGGGGGGGTTGGGAGAGCGCATGGGGACGAGTTGAGTGGTGGTGGTGGATTGGCAGGGGTTGAGGAGGCGTTTTGTACTTGATTGGAAAGGCATTATTTGTGAGCGCGAGCAAGGAGTGCGCACGGCACCACCAGAAATGGATTGTTCAAACCAGTTTCAATGCTACCACTGGTGTCATGCTAGCGCCATGCTGCCATGCTGACGAAACGTCACGTTCAACATTACCACAGGTCCATTTTCTTTCCCTTCCACTCATCCCTGAACTGTACCACAACAAACTAATCCCACCATCCCCAATCCCCCCGTCCCTATGTCCACCCCCATTTCCGAACAGCCCCACCCTGCTCGATTTCCCCCCGTAGCACACTCCGTCCCTTATCCCCATGCTCTACACACCCCCCTCCCCCCACGCGCACCTTGAGCACGGACTTGACGGGCGCGAGCTTGAGCTTGACACCAAAGTCGCGGATGCCCTGCGAGGGCTCGATGAAGGTGCGCCCCACGTAGTGCGAGCGGATGAGGCCCTGCTGGAACGGCACGCCCGCCTCCGCCGCGAAGCCCAGCGCCGCCACCACGCCGCTGTCCGGCACCGCGATCACCACGTCCGCCTCCGCGGGCGCCGTGCGCGCCAAGATGCGCCCGAAGCTGTACCGCGACTGGCGGAAGGGCACGCGGGATGCGGAAGGGGCGCGCGGCGGGGCGGGGTGGATGCGGAGGGGGAAGGGGAGGAGAGGGGGAAGGGGGGGGAGTGGGGGAAGGGGAGGGGCGGGGAGGGGAAGAGTGGAAGGTGTGCGGGGATGGGCACAGCGGAATGCGAGAAAAAGGAGTTATCACACCGCGCTCAGCACCAGCTTCCCATTCGGAGGGGCAACCTTGAACGAGTTTCGTTCGTGACAGACAGATAGCTAATAAAAAGCGGACGGTCAGGATGAGAAAGGCGGAAACGATAAGCGGGGGTTAGGGAATGGAGGAGTTGGGAGGGAGGGGAAGGGGGGAAGGGAGAAACGGAGGCGAGTGGGAAGAAAAGGGGTTGGAAGAGGAGAAAGGGCGACGACGCGGAGGAGCGCGACGAAAGGCATACGATGCGAGAAGGGACTTCAAAACAGGAGAGGAAAGGAGAGGACGAGTGCGAGGAGGGTCTGTCCGATTGAGAAACACCAAAATATGCTGCTGTAGCTTCACCAGTGTTCTATCCCACGCGATTCGTTCTCGCAGCCTAGTCAGCAGTTTCCTGTCCCATTCCAGCCCCCCAACCCCCTCCCTTTCCACATCAGCGCCCCAACTCCACACGCAAAACCCGTGCTTTCTCTCGCCCTGCACCGCCACCCCCACTTTTCCCCCCTCCCCCTCCCCCCCCCCTCTCTCCCCCCTTTTTCCCCCACCTTCCCATAGACCCCTTACCCTTCCCCTCGGCCCGCCCCCTTTCCCCGCTTCCTCACCTCATAGACGGAGCGGCCGAAGACGACGGAGTGCGGGAGCGCGAAGTAGATGTGTTCGAAGACGCACGCCTTGCGCGGCTTCTTGGGCATGAGGCACATGGAGCTCACGCCGCTGCCGTCCACCACCACCACCTCGCCGGGGTTCACCTCGCGCTCGTACTCCGCGCCGATCAGGTCCAGCGCGCACGTCTCCGACGCCACCACCACGGCGCCCGTGTCGCGCCGCCGCCCCAGCACCAGCGGGCGGAAGCCATACGGGTCGCGCGCCGCGACGAGCTTGTCCTCGGTGAGGAAGACGAGCGAGTACGCGCCCTCGAGCTGCTCGCACGCGGAGACGAGGCGCGCGATGAAGGGGCGCGCGGTGGACATGGCGATGAGGTGCAGGATGACCTCGGTGTCCGACGACGTGTTGAAGATCGACCCCGCGTCCTCCAGCCGGTGCCGCAGCTTGCGGTGGTTCACCAGGTTGCCGTTGTGCGCCACCGCCGTCGGCCCGAACCGGTACTCCGCCACGAACGGCTGTCAGGCGGGGAGTGGTGCGCGCGGGGAAGGGGGGCAGGCGGGCGGGGGGTGGGGAAAGGGGGAAAGGCGGAAAGGGGGAGAGCGGGGCGGGCCGAGAGAGGGGGCGGGAGGAAAGGGGGTACAACGAGGGTGAACAGGGAGAGCGGAGCAGGAACGGGGAACGCGTGGACGTATGGTGTGGAAAACGCAAAACGGCACGCATAAATGCACGCCTCCTCCCATCGCCATCCGGAAAAAAACCCTCTTTCTCCCACCCTCCTCCCTCTCTCCCTCCCCTTCTCCCCCTTAACCCCCGCCACCTACTTGCACGTTCTTCAGCACAGACGCGCCGGCAGTGGCGTATCTGACGTGGCCAATCCCGCTGGACCCCTCCAGCTCGGCGAGCTTGTTGGAGTCGAACACGTCGCCGACGAGCCCCATCCCCGTCACCGACCGGAGCCGCCCATTCCCGCTACACGTCACGATCCCCGCGCCTTCCTGCCCGCGGTGCTGCAGCGCGTGAAGCGCTAGATAGCACAGCCGGCCCGCGTCGGGGTCGCCCCAGATGCCCACCAATCCGCACTCCTCCCGCCACGTGGCACCCTCGCCGTCCCTCACGGACTCATCCTCGTTAGAAGAGACGGCGTTAAACCCCGAATCCTGGGTGTGCTGTTCTCTGTGAGCAGTCCTGCTGTGAAGCCACTCGCGCATCGGGTTGTCGTCGTTCACCGCCTCCGCTGCGGAAGCCGCGCGCACTGAAACTGATGGAAAAGCGCCGCTGCTTGCGCCAGCGGCCGCGGAGCCTCCACAAGTCCTGCAATGGTTGGTGCTGGAGAGAAGTCGACGATCTCCCGCAAAAAAGCAGGATGAGGAGGACACGAGATGTTTGCGCGAACCCAGCGGCTTTACAACTGCGCTGGCGGTTAAATGACACCTGATAGACGGGGAAATGGCGACCCGCTCCATTCAGGACGTCCTTGCGGAGATGGATCACTACCAGCAGCAAGCTTATCCAATCGCTAGTAGCAAAACCAATCTCTCTAGTTGTGAGTTGAACCTCCAAAGCCACACCACTAGGTGGCTAGTGCTTTTGTGTTGGTGTTGGTGGCGGCGCCCCTGGGCAGCGTAGAAGGTCGCGTGGGGCTGAAGTTTAAAAAGTTTTCCTTTTACGGGGAACCTTATGGACACTTGTGGCCCAGAGCGGACGCGAAGTGTGTTCGGTGCTCGCGTCTATTTCTGGTTCGGTTGGGAGGTCACGAAGTTGAGGCTCCGAAGGCCGCAGTCCGCTAAGAATAGAGAGGAAAATCTGAGAACCTGAGGCTGGGAACCGATCACCCCAACCTGACACGAGCCAAAAATACGCCCTGACAGGCACTAATTCCCACTGGCCTACTACACTAATCCACTGTACTTTGGATCCTGGAGGAAAACTAGCCTCCACACTGCCATTGCATGTCGTCAGTGGAAACAACTACAGTCCACATACTCGCGTCAGTGGTTCTCCGTAAACTTCAGACAACGGGCAGCAAGCGCATTTTAGCGAGGAAGCCCAAGCTCTGCAGAAAGGGCCTGTTTCAACTTTGGGAGCTGTTGTGATGACCTGTCAGAGCCGTCGCTTGGCGCGCTTTAGTGGCACGTAAGAAGCGGCAGATTTTGTCAAGTAGGGAAGCAGGCTGAAGGTAAGTGGGCCAGAAGGATAGGGCGAAAACGAAAACATCCAATTGACGTTTGGAGTGGATGCCAGGTGGCGAGGAGTAACACAATTCACACGTGGCGAATACCTTGTCTGATCTACAGGTTTTCTCGTTTATAGTCAGACGGATCGAGTCGCCGCGCGCGGACTATGTGGCAAAACCTTCAAACCCCAGGCAAAACGCGATTCTTATAGTCCCGTTCAGGAAATTTGTGTAAAGAGTGGTTTTCCGGCTACTAATTTTTGGGTTGCGTAGCAACCCTATACATTTGGTAGCACTTTTCGGTCGACTCAAATGAACAGTGCATGTTTTCGTCATTTTCCCAACGTTTGGAGCTCTCGTTTTAACACTTTGAGAACGAGTGCTCCTAAATTGTGGAAATGACGGAAGCACTGATAACATAAGAGTCTCCCCAAAAGTGAAACCAAATGTGGCCTTTCATTCCATAATCGTCGATAAATACGGCGAATGGAACAATTGGTCAGCACGTTTTGACAACAACACAACGACGAAAGAACATCCACTTAACGTGAATACGAGTCATGTGCATTTGTTGAACATGTGCAAAAACAGTGCACAACAACTGTGAATGAACACAACAACGCACTACTGTGAGTGAACACAAAAATGGATCGGTGCTACAACAGAGATGGTTCCGGTATGCTAAGGCGAGCAACGCTGCCCCAACAACGATCCCCACCTCAATTGCAGACCCGACACATTTTAACATCACTCCACCAAGACGAGACAAGCGACAAAAGATAACGACGATGGTAACGCACATTGTACGACACTGAAAAACATACGTACTCAAAGAAGGTGAAAAACGACAAATTCTTAACGATAACACACACCAACGGTGATGAGGTGAATGATAGAATGCAGCAGTGCTACAACAGAGATGGTTCCGGTATGCTAAGGCGAGCAACGCTGCCCCAACAAAGATCCCCACCTCAATTGCAGACCCGACACATTTTAACATCACCCAAAAATGACACAAACGATAAAACATAACGAGGACGATACCACACAGTGTACGACAATGGAAAACATACGTACTTCACGAAGGTGGAAAACGACTCTAAAGACAACGATGGCGACGCAAGCAGAACGCACACACGGTCATGCACACAAATATAGTTATGATGTATCAAAGATGTATAAATTCATTGCTAGTCACTCCGTTCTCGCCCCACTCATGTTTTCCTTCCATTGCCCTCTTCCTCACCCTTCCCTTTCCACCCCGCCACTTTCATCTTCATCCTCTTCCATTCCTTTTGCTTCCCCTTTGCCCTGCATAATACAAAACCAAGAATACAAGTGCGTCAAAAATACAACACGAGGATTGATTTGAGAGATGCATGCACACGCACAAACACGAGTATACACATTCAAATAACTGCACACTTACAATCAAACTTTCGCAACACCACTCCCCCCCTGCACAGAGAGTAGAGCCAAGTACAAGTATAGAAAGTGGAATCAATTCTTAAACATCGAAAGGGGTTTGGAAAGGAACAAATGAAGCATTTGACAAGCAACCATAAACAACAAATGAAAACAAAACCTACATGGCTACCACGGCGCTGAGTCGTCTTTGAAGGTGTTGAAGGAACGGTTGGAGGAGCGTCTTGTGCTAAGCGCTTGTTGTTGTTATTTACAATAGTTGTCGTGCCCTCCTATCGAATGGCAAAAACAAATCCATTCGCATGTTAATAGGAAATAATAATGTATCAAATACCACGTTTAAGTAACGTAGTTGTGTACGATCGTTCTTAATGGTTTTGCGCTACACAATGTGTTACTTACATTTCCGCGCATTTGTGCAAATGAAGTGATGGTCCTCTCAAAACTATCTCCAGCTTCTTTTGTGAGAATCTGCAATTTGACATAAGAAAGAATAGTAATAAATAATGAAGAAAAAAAAGGATTTACAATGGTCGATCAAAGGAGGAAAGGCGTCATAGAAGGATACGTGGAAGAGCATGGAAGGAAGCTTGACATGATGGCGTCATACGATGTCTTTGTCAGAATGTTGTATTTGTCTAGCCTGCAGTGGGGTACTCTATAGCGAGTACAGCCCAATCTAGGGTTTGCTATTTGTATCTCAACTGCTGCTAGTCCAAAACGCTCTTTCTGTTTCTAAACTTTGCCTACTACTTCTGACATGCTATCAGAGCAGGTCGACCCCCTTGGGTCGATCCTGTGGGTGGGCCCACCACCTAATGCTTCCGCTGCTGTTCTACTTGTCGCGCGCCTCGGTCGCGCGACGCCTCCTTCCTGCCGCGCGCGCCGCGCGCGGCGAATTTTTTTTAAGGTTTTCATCCCGCCGTACGCTCGGGGCGTGCGGCGGTTTTCTGCCTGCCGTGCGCCCCGAGGCGCGCGGCGGTTTCCCACCGTCGAAGTGCCCCCCGTCGCCCGTCGAAGCGCTCCCCCCCGTCGCCCGTCGAAGCGCCCCCGTCGCCCGTCGGAGCGCCCCCCGTCGCCCGTCGAAACGTCCCCGTCGCCCGTCGAAGCGCCCCTGGGACCCGCGCGCGGCCCGTACGGGCTGCGCCAGGCCCGCGCGCGGCCCGTACGGGCTGCGCCAGGCCCGCGCGCGGCCCGGGCAGCCCGCGCGCGCCTCGTCCCGCCTGCGGCAGACCCGTGCGCGCGCCTCGTCCGTCCCCCAAGCTTCTGTCGGCGCCCCACCCCCGCTACTGCCCGCGTTCCTGTGTTAGGGTTTGGGGGTGGCGGGTGTGGGGGTGCCGGTTGTGTGCCCCGTCCCCTCCTTCTCCTCCTCCTCCGTCTCCCGCTGCTGCAGCTGCCGCTCAGGGGGGTGGGTGTGTGGGGAGCCGACGGAGTGGTACTAGGGGGGTGAAAGGGGAGTGGAGCTAGGGGCGAAGCAGGGGGTGTGTGTCGAGGGGTGTGGGACTGTTGGGGGAGGTTGAGCGGAGGCCGCCGTCGTGTCGTCCGCAGCGCCTGTATTCCGGGGTTCTGATAGCCACCGGTAGCTCAGAGAGCCGGTTGCACCTGTCGCCCGTGGGTCCGTTGCTCCTGTCGCTGCTGATCAGACGCAGAGCCTGTTACTCCTGTATTCCGGGGCCCTTGCTCCCGGTAGCCACTAGAGCTGCACTAGAGCCGTCTGTTGCCCGTGTGTCTGCAGCTTCAGTCGTCGCCTCCACTCTTCTCTCCTCTCGCCAGCCCTCCTCCTCCTCACTTGCCCTGTGTGACTGCCTCTAGCTTTGCTCATAAAATGTGAACTACTATTATGACTGCTTGTTGTGCTGATTACACCCCACTTTGGCTATGGGGGTGTGTCAGAATGTTGTATTTGTCTAGCCTGCAGTGGGGTACTCTATAGCGAGTACAGCCCAATCTAGGGTTTGCTATTTGTATCTCAACTGCTGTTAGTCCAAAACGCTCTTTCTGTTTCTAAACTTTGCCTACTACTTCTGACAGTCTTGTTGCCTGTGAGTTGAGAGAAGGATACATGCGAGTAAAGGGTGAGAGAAAAGAGCACGGAATTAAGATTGACATGATGGCGTCATTTGTCTTTTTGCGCCTGTGATCTGAGAGTGAGGTACAAGGAGGAAAGAGAGAAAAAGAGATCTTGGATGAAAGATTGTCGTAATGCCGTGATATGCTCTTTTGCTGCCTTTGAGTTGAGAGAGGGGTACAAGAGGGGAAGATGGTTAGAAAAGTGCACTGGAGGAGGGTTAGCACGATGGCGTCACTCGTTCTTTGCCCATGAGATTAGATAGGGATGTAGGGGAGGAAAGGGAGGAAAAAATTTAGTAAGAATGTTGTTTTAGTGGAGTCATACGCGCACTTGCTGCCAAAAAGCAGAGAGAAGGGTACAAAGGGAAAGTGGAAGAAATAGTGCGAAAGAAAAGTTGACGTGATGGCGTCATACATCTTTTTGCTACTCATGAGCTGAGAGATAGGTGCAAAGGGGGGAAACATGGGGAAGAACGAGCACGGAGGAAGGTTGGTATGATGGTAACTATGTCACTGTCAACAATTTGATATGCTCACTCAATACAAAAACATAATTGCAACCACATAATCACAACAATGCCAAAAAAGAACAAACTCATGGTTTCACTTACCTCAATAAGCCACTGGTTTTCAAGCAAGCCCATCAACATCTGCTTCTTCTCTTCGTGCCCAGCAGCGGTCCACGCTTCATTGCTGAAGCCGTCCAACCCTTCCGTCAAAGCCTGCATGCACACTGTAGCATACACACATGTACGTATGGGCTTTCCTCCTGCAAAATGGAAAAGAAAAGAAAAA